AAATATGCTATAAGAACAAAAGACAAATCAGCCCTCATGAGAAGTTCTGTGCAAAAGAGACACCTGATAAAAAATTATCTCAAAATATTCAGACTTTTTAATAAGAAAACAACCCAATTTTAAAGTTGGGCAAAAGATCAACACAGACACATCACAAGAGAAATTAGAGATGGCAAATAGCCACATTAAAAAGATATGGAATATCTTATATCATTGGGAAAATGTAAATTTAAAACAATGAAATACTGTATATACTACAATGGCTAAAATCTAAAAATACAGCATCACCAAATACTGAAAAAAAATGGGGACTAGAAATTTCATTTTTAGTGGGAATGAAAATGGTACAACTACTGTAAGTGACAATTTGGCAGTTTCTGACAAAGCTAAAACACAAATTTTCCATATAATATAATTAGACTCCTAGGTATTTATCCAAAAGGGCTGAAAACTTCTGATAATGCAAAACCAGAGTATGAATATTTACAGTAGCTTTATAATTGTCAAAAAATTGGAAATAGCTAACACGTCCATTAATAAGTAAATAAGTAAACAAACTACAATATCTATTGGTAGAACAGTGTTCAAGGATAAAGAAGTGTGCTATCAGGCCACAAAAACAACACATGGCCAAGCACAATGGTGCACACTTGTAATCCCAGCACTTAAGAGGCAGAAGCAGGAAGATCACCATGAGTTCTATGCCACCCTGGGCTACACAGTGAGTTCGAGGCCAGCCTGGACTACACAGTGAGACCCTGTTTCAAAAAAAAAAGGACCGGGGAAGATGGCTCAGTAGAATAAACGCTTCCCTGGCAAGTGCAAGCGCCTGAGTTCAATCCCCAGTTCCGAAAAAAAAAAAAAAAAAAAAGACATGGAGTAAACTTACATGCATATTGCTAAGTAAAAAAAGTCAGTATAAAGATATACAGTGCATGGTTCAAATATATGACATTCTCGAAATGGTAAAATTACCACATAAAAAGATCAATGATTGCCAGAGGCTGGGGCAGAAGTGGATAGTACAAAGTCGTATTCTGTCCTGTGACTCTCTGTGTAACATTACAGTGGTGATACATAACAATATTAATTTGTCAAAACTAAAGAATTACACAACCAGTAGTGAATATTAGTGTACACTATGGACTTTAATCATGTATTTGTCAAAAAAAAAAAAAAATCATGTATTTGTCAAAACCCACAGATCTATACAACACAACTAAGTCCTAAAGCACACTAAAGATTTCAGCTGGGCTGGTGAGATGGCTCAATGGTCTAAAGCACCTACTTGGAACAAGCTTGGCAAAGCACAGGGATGGGCTGGTGAGATGGCTCAGTGGTCTAAAGCACCTACTTGGAACAA